ACTGTTCTCAGAGACAGTAAGGGGGAGGGGCAACTGGCAAGGATGAGATCAGCTCCAAGGACACACAGGAGCAGAAGAGAAGCAGACCATGTCCACCTCAGGTTAGTATCAGCCAGCTCCTGTGAAAATCTGAAGAACTTACAAAATAGCGAGTGACCAGCAGTCACCTATGGTACTGTAAGCAGCACGCACGATACTTCCAGTCCTCATGGTTAGGTTCCTCATCTGAGTCTGACTGAGGCAAAATGGTCAGGCCTATCCATCACTTGCTATGAATGAGGAGGTCAGAAGGCCTGAACAGATTTTCAACTTTGAGGGGCAATGGATCAATAAAATTTGTTCACCATAGGCAGAAGGGCAGATTCACCAGGAAGGGTCACAGTGAAGGTCAGATCTCATTCATTTCCCTCCTGAAAAAATCACTTAGGAAGATTCTTGCCATTGCTATGAGCATCCCAGAGACTTAGTTAACCATACTCAATAACCATATAGCAAGTGAGACCTAGCTCCTGACAGGCTCAAAGCACTAGGGGACACCCTTCTCCAAATTTCTACAACTTGTTTCTGCTATATGTTAAACTGTGGTTCTTTCAGGGTCGCTTACATGTCATTAAGTGAAAGAAAATGGCAAGCTAAATCCACATTGTTCAAGTACTTACTGGTGCTGGAAGCAATGTTGGTCAATTAAATATAAGTAGGGAGTCCATGCCCGAAGAGGAGCCAAGGTAGTTTGGCACACTGAGTAGCACTGGGTTAGGAAAAATAAAAAATACTAACTTACAATGAAACCCATCTGCAAACAATCCAACATTACTGGAATCCAGTCTTAGGAAACACACAATCCTTCCAATTTCTAACCAAGGTCAAATTAATTATTCTGAGCTTCAGTTTAAACATTCATGTTTTTAAAAAGTAAACACTGCTATCAATTGATTAAAAATTTAGATATTAGAGAGATCTTAGAAATATCACCAGAAGATAGATCTTAATGAAGTCCACTAATTTTCTAGGAAGTCCGGGTGAAGGTATAACTTCAACGCTTTCTAATTCCACTGGGTTTCTCCACCTGCAGCATCAGCCACACTGAGTACAACAGCCACAAACAATATCCTCTGGGAGGAGAAATCCTGCCAAGAGACAGTGGTACCAAGAACTCCTTTTTTATCTAACAGGGTCCTGAGATCTTTGAAAGTAAAATGCCTGGGATTAGAGCACAGGCATTTCAGCATAGGGGTCAACTGATCCTCCTCTAAACAAAATAATATAAACTTCTAGCTATGTTTTGAGTAAATATGGATTCCCTCAGGTCTTGGAAATGAGTGAGAATCTTTGTAAGCGTCTGGGCTAGGCAAGAAGTGAATATAGACAATGCCAGTTGTCACTGAGGAACAAGTTGATCCAAGTTCCTTTGATCCAATAAGATATCTATGGCAACAGGGGTAGGTGATGCAGTAAAAAATGAGTTTAAAGAGCTTTAAACTGTGGGTCTGGGTCTGGCGAGATAGTTCAGTGGACTAAGCACCTACTTAGGCAAGCGCAGGGGGCAGGTTTGATACCCAGCACCACATGCCACACTGGCCATGCCCCTGAGTGTGCTGAGCTGGCACCAAGATGAGGCACGGTGGTGCACAGCTGTAATCCCAGCACTGGGGAGGCTGAAATCAGGAGTATCACTATGAGTCCAAACTGCATAGAGAGACCCTGCACCAAGTACATAAAGTGATGATGATGATGATGATGATGATGATGATGATGATGATGATAATAAAGAACTCTGAATCTGAATGGAACACAGTAGGAGTGGTGAGAGAAAAAAAGACTGGACTTAACAGAATCTGTACCATTAGCCAAGTGACCTTCACAAGCTACATGTGCATGCTCTCTTTGTCTAGATATCTCTGTGAAAGTTCTCACCGTGTCAGAAAGGCCCATGCAAGAGGACATACTAGCAGATAAACTAGTGTGCTCAGGCTGCAGTAGCAAAGTACTTCAGACTGAGTAATTTTTTAAGTACCACTTATTGATAGTTCTGGCAGCGAGGAAGATCAAGCAGCTAAGCAGATACAGGGAGTGAAAAGACACTCTTTGCTTGAACATGGCACCTTGAGCTGGGCGTGGTGGGACACACACATAATCCCAGCACTGTGGGAAGCTGAGGCAAGAGAAACACAAGCTGGAATCTAGCCTGGGCAACTTAATGGCTTGACAAGAGCCTGTCTAAAAAAAAAAAAAAAAAAAAAAAAAAAAAAAGGCTGGGGATATAGTTCAGTGCAAAGGCCCTGGATACAATCCCCATTACTGAGAAAAGAAAAGAAAAAAGATGGCATCTTGCTGTTATTTTCACATGCCAGGAGGCCTGAAGGAGCTAACAAGCTCCTGTGAACCTCCTCCTAAGAGCACCAATTCTGTTCAGAAGGGCACCACTTTCATAACCTAGTCATCTTCAAAGATCTCACCCCTTAAATACTACCACATTGGAAGTTAGATTTCCTGTGAATTTGGGCAGTGTGTATACACATAGACCAGAACAGGAGTAACAACTTTTGGTTACCAAAAAAGCTCTGGTCCCCTAAAAATAATCTCCTCCAGCATGATCAGGATATGTAACCAGTATCTTCAGAAAGGAAGGTACAGGAAGTTTCCGCTTAGAAGAGTTGTTCTGCCTAAAGTGACTTTCCAAGAACTTATCTAAACCTTGCATAAAGTTTGAACCTTTATCCTCATGCAAAAATTTTATTAATGACCAGGTAGTTAATACAATGCTGAATTTCATTGGCTGCAGAGCAATTTATAGATTTCATAAATCATGACATATCATGCAGGTAACTATGCTCACTTTAATTTTTTTTTAATGTATTTGATTGCTGCAGGGTCTCACTATGCAGCTTGGGCTCGTGGTGATCATCCTGCTTTCAGCTTCCCCAGTGCTGGGATTACAGACTCTGGCAAGCTCAGCCCACCCAGGGGGCAGAGCTGATGCTGCGTGTGGTGCTGGGGATTGAACCATGGCCCCTGCTCTTGCCTACGCAGGCACTTTAGTTCACTTTGAGCTATCTTGACAGCCCTCACCTTGATTTTAACTTCTTCACATAAAGTTCTGATTCTTTCTCCCAATTTTTTAAAGAACATAAGCTCTGGGATAAGCCATACGTTTTCTAATATTATACCATTACCAATTAGCTGGGGAACTTTGGAAAAGTTACTCTAATTCTTTATTCTTCAATGTCATTATATTTTTTAATTGTTTATTGCTACATTTTAGGTATATGTAATGGTCACATTCATTATAGGGAATTTGCACTGTACGTGATATAACTTGATTCTTTTTTTCCCGTTACCCTACACTCCCTTCAACCCTCCTTCCCCTCCCTATTTGCTAAAGCTTTGTTTCCATGTTTTCCACCTTTGCTCATTATTGTTTTCTTTTCTCTTCCTTTCGTTGCCCCCCCTTCCCTAGTTCTCCTCCCTATTTGGACATTTTCTTCCTATTCCACAATATCTATTATACATTTTGGTTCTTATTTACACTTCCAACTTTCATTATCTTTTAAGAAGGATAAAAATGAGAATTATACTATAGTCTTGTGGTAAGGATTAAAAAGGACAACGACATAAAATGCTTGAAACACATAATAAATGGTAACCAACATCAGCCGAGCAGCCAGGTACTGGAGTGATCGATGAAAACAGCCAGGCAAAATGAAGGAGACCACCAAGACTTACTTGCTCATGGCAAAAAACAATCAGTAAGAAGTTAGCCAGGAGAGAGCCAGCTTCTCTCCGGGGATGGCACTACATGGTGAAGCAGAGAAAAATACAAATCAAGATCATCTCCCTGTGGATGGAGCACTAAATTCTGAGTCAGAGTGGAGAAAACTATATTCTCCAACAGTGGTGGCCTTGACCAAGACTGTAGCCTGGGAAAGGCTTCTGAATTGAGGCAGCTGGACAAGGAAGAGCAGGGCCAGTGGAGGTAGTGAGAGGTGGAGCCCTTGACTGCACCTTCATGTACAGACTGCAGTGCCTGGCTGGCTCCACGTCTGGGTGGAAGGGCAGCTTTCCCTCCTGAGGTCTGCCAGGGGGAGGGAGACTTCAGCATTCCTATGGAGACGCCTAGGAGGGCTTTGAGCCAGGGACTGATTGCTCATATTATTTATTACTTATTTATTTATTTCACACACACACACACACACACACACACACACACACACTCCACTTGTATAAAATCACTTAAAGCACTGTATATGCTACCGAGTTTTCATTGGAGGGCTGAAAGTATTATTTCACACAACAGGAAAAAAATAAGCTTTAGTAACTCATCCTGTCTTCCAGTTTCTTCTTGCCTCATAATACATTTTATAAACTGCAAGATACACAGAATTTGTCTTTAAGTTCAGTAATTTACACTCAAGCAACCAAACTCTACAACTGTTTTCAGCCATCAAAAATACTACTGCTGTACCCACTGAGCAGCACTTGACACCCACTCGCCTCCCCAGCAGCTCTTCTAGCAGCGCCTCTTGCTCTTTAATTTGTTTTGACCATGCAGCTCCATGTTCCTCCACTTTATTTGGCCCATACTATAGAACTTTTTATCATTTCTGCGATCAAAATTATAATTTTAATGTCCCTCTGATTTTCTGAAAATAAACTTCCATACTCTCTACCCCTAGAATTAATGGTACCTACCTTCCTTAAAAGGAACTTTAGCAATGACCCAAATTCTAAGTGTATTCATCAGAGACATGCTTACTGCTCTAAATAGTTTATTGGGCTTGCTTGCTTGCTTGTTTGCTTTCTAAGCACAGGTGATACTTATCCATCAAAATTCCTACATACAAAGAGTCTTCATATTGCTACAGAACAAGATTTTAGGCACCACAAGTTCAATAAGAAGGAAAGACCTCTGTCCTGACAACCATGCTTCTGGGCCCCAGCACCTCTGTGCATGCAGTGTGCATGCAGTAGATATTTTCAAACTTTTTTTTTGTACTGTCTAGGTGATGTGTTGACCTTCCTAGATTCACATGTAGAATGTAATGTTGGTTGGCTAGAACCTCTTCTGGAAAGAGTTTACTTAAGCAGAAAGAAAGTGGCCTGTCCAGTAATTGAAGTCATTAATGACAAGGATATGAGGTAAGACTGCATAGCTCACCTGTACTTCTAAGTAGGTCTTTACCCACAAGCAGTAAAAAATACTGGTCCTAGTAGGAACACATATAGAGTGATCTTTCTGTCTCCGTCTCCCCAGTGCTGGGATTACAGGCATGCACCACCATGCCCAGTCTTGGTGGCCAGCTCAGTGTGCCCTGGGGATGGGCCAGCACTGTGTGTGGTGCCAGGGATTGAACCCAAGACCTCGTGCTTGCCTAAGCAGAACCTTAGACTGCTGAGCTATTACTGTAGTCCTAATAGAAACATTTTTTAAAAACTCTAAGAAATGAGTTATTTATCCACTTGAATAAATGGAAACATATGATAGATATCTTGTGTGTGTGGAACCTATTATCCAATAATCAAATTTGGTTACTGATAAATCTTAATACAAATATTGCCCATTATTCATCATTAAATTCATCTCCCTTTATAGTCAGCTGAACCCTGAGATATTATTTTCCTCAATTTTAGTCCTTCCTTTCATAGCCAACATATATGCACTTCTAAATTGTTTATTTGTTCCTCAAAAATGGCCACAGTGAACCCCAGCATGGTGGCACACTCCTGTGATCCCACCACTCTGGGAAGCTGAGGAAGGAGGATTGCCATTGCAGCCCACCTGGTAAACTTAGTGACCCTGTCTCAAAATAAAACATTTTTTAAGACAGACTTTTGGATCTATCTCAGTCCAAAGGCCTTTGGTTCAGTCCCTCGTGCCATACACACACAAAAGACAAGTTATTATTCTTTTAAAGTATACGTTAAAAGCAAGCAATCCAGCCAGTTAGCCACCAGTACAAACTGCGCTCATAAATTTTCTTGAATGAAACCATTAAAAGGTGCTGATCCAAAATCACCTAAATCAGTAACTGTTCTGTACGTAAATAAGCCATGGAGACACTTGTTGAAGCACAGATAGATGCATATAAAATCTCAAGTTGCACTTTGTTCTTTGTTATTGTGCTTATTTGCTTGTTTGTTACTAAATTAGTTACATGACAGTGGACAACTTTCAAAGAGGAATCTTTGTGTGGCCTATGAACTTCGGTTGGAGAACAATTCCTCCAGATGTTGTTGCAAAAAACAGAATTAAAGAAACTGATGTAATAAGGTAAGTGTGTGAAATTTAAGACTAAGAAGCAGTCATATGATTTTTTGCAAAGGCACAGAAAATTTCATGAAGTGGCTATAGCCTATTTGTACTAATAGTGTTTAGACAAGATATCATGTCTGCATCTTGTACTATGAATAACTACTATGAAGATAACAATATGCAGTGTATTAATTATTGTAACTGTCCTACTAACCTGTTTTGAAACTGTCTCATTGCTATTTCTTTCTAAATAAAATGAATTTAAAAAAATAAGCATCAAGAGTTACATCTAGCCATTAGATTACTAAAGAAAAGTTTTTCAAGAAATTAGCTTTCCATTACTCAAACTCACTTTTAAAAACACAATTGAACACTATCCAGTCATGAGCTTAGAGAAAGTTACTGATACGCTTCCTATTCTCTGGGATTTGTAACCTAAGAAACAAATACTAGTTGAATTTGCTGCATTAACACATATAATCTTAAATAAACATGAGTAAAAATTAAATAGTAAATGATATTAATAGAAATATCATGATAATAATAGCTATGGTGAGATTGTCTTTCACAGCCAAATCCTACTCTCTCCATGGGACAAATGCCAAATTCTGTGAATAACTTAAGAAATAGACACAAAAGCTCAACATAAATTAAAATTCAGGCTGTATTACAGAAGGCAAATTCAAGATCATTGGCTGGATCAGAAGCCAAAGTGGATACCTCTTGTCACTTCCCCAGAGTCTAAACCTGCTGGAAGGGCACTAGCCAGCCTCATCCAGAGTAGAAAATATGGATTCTGTGTTGGAGAGAGAACTTGAGGAGGCACACGGGAACAGGTTAACACAAGTTAATAAGCTTGCACTGCAGCCTGTTTTCCCAGCATTCCAGTCCATAAACTATTTTCCTCATGCCTGGTTTGATATTTCCAGAGTTGGTCCTCCTGGGAGCAAGGAAGTTGTACCATCTATTATGCACTGAATGTGAAGCATTCAACCTCTTCTCTATCCCTAGGTGAAGTGGTTGTTGTCATTTTACAGAGATGAGGATATCTAGACTAAAAAAGTCAAGTGATTTTCCCAGGGATACACAGGTAACAAAAGATCAATTTGAGGTCCATCTCAGACCAGCCTAAATTTAGCACCTGTTTCTATTCCTAAGCCTAAAGAATCTTTCCATTTCATTAGAGTCCCATTCTGAGGGTCAGTCTAGTGGTTGAGTTGAAATTATGTCCAGCATAATGTTAGGAAGAGAATGCATTCTGGAGAATCTGGTAGGAATCATCAGGACACAGAATTAGGTACATAACTGGCAGACAAGGGTGAGGTGTGTGAGGAAGGGACTGCCCTACCCTTGGGGACATGGTGCATTCTGTAGGCAAAGCAATTCTCCACTGGCCAAGTGGTGGCTGTGGTGATCAAAGCCTTTTCTAACTTCTGTCTAAAATGTAATCAGCAAGAACTGCAGAAGCTCTGGACTCAGACTCCTTTGAATGTCTACTTTTAAGATTTACTATCCCCATAAAGTTCCAACTACCTCATTGTTGTACTTTTGTAGGAAGACTAGTAAAAGTCATTACCATTAATTGTTCCAGTACTTTAATCAGATCATATATTTAGAGTGCCTTCCACACTGCTTTTTACCATATAATGGGCTGCCAATGGTTGGGTGCAGCACTGTGCAATTGCAAAGTGTGGAACTCAGACGGATTCCCAAAGTATGAACTCCAGGTGTGTGGGCCACTCTCTCTTGACCTTGGTGAAGTTTTGTGACTTCTCTACATGGGTTGTAGTTTCTTAATAATGAGGCACATTCCCACAGTTTTTGCAATACTTAAGTTATTAAACAGATAGTAGGGCCAGCCAAATAGCTGAGTGGATTAAAGCACCTGCAAACAGACACAGGGGCTGGGGTTGCCACCCCCAGGCCTGCCGTGCTGCCTGTGCCCGGAGTGTGCTGAGTCGGTGATTGAGACTGGGCCTGGTGGCACACACCTGTAATCCCAGCTCTTGGGAGCTGTAAACAGGCAGATCACTGTGAGTCCGATCTAGTAGTGAGACCCTGAACATCCTGTAGACCCTTCCCTAAAATAAAAAAATAAAAATAAAAATAGTAAATATCTGGTGCTAGCTTAGCCCTAAGTAAGTCTTGTTAAAAAGAACAACCTTAAAGAGTTGGTGTCAGAGTTAGGACAGAACACAATCTTACTTCCTGGCCCCAATTCTTGGGTGACATCAATCAAGCTCTGCCACCACGAGCCTGGCAAACTCGCCAGCTTTAGCAGGCGTACTTGTGACCCCGTCCCAAGACCTCCCTGCCCTCAGTGTTCTCTAACTGGCCCAAAGGCACAGAGCCCCACACCACAAGGTGAGCTCCCGTGCGATGCAAGTGTAACACATAACCTTTCTTTACGTAGGTGCCCCGTCATGGCAGGTGGATTATTTTCTATTGACAAAAAGTACTTTTTTGAACTTGGAACTTATGATCCTGGCCTTGATGTTTGGGGTGGAGAAAATATGGAGCTCTCATTCAAGGTATCACCACTTTTTTTCTAACTTTCTTTACAATTACCATTTCGTTTTCATTGGTTTAATTTTACTAATTTAGTTAGATGTGTAATTAACACAGCATAAATTTCACAGAAATTTAGTGTCTATGAATTATTTTTTCATAGCGCAGATTAAATTTGAAAAATTAATGAGCATTTTGAAATTCATTTGTTTCTTAAATTTCACAATATTTCACAATAATGTTCATTTCATATTTAATATTTTATTTAAGCATTAATATTTAATATCACATTTAATTTTAATTTCATAACTTAATACTCATGTTTTATAGTAGCGCTGATTATTTTACAGTAATCTTGATATCATTTCTATATTTCAATAAAGGGGAAGTGATTTCCTGCCTTTCAGTATAAATGCAGAGGGGTTGGTACCTCATACAAAATGACTCCCCTGAGACATCTCTCTCCAATATGTTGGAAGTCCTAGAATCAATTCATAATTGGTGATCTTGGAGGATGCACATGACAGAAGTGGCACAGAGGACCTCTGGAGAAGGCTACCACAGGCCAGCTGCATCCCGCTCGCAGCTGCCTTGGGAACTTCATTCATTCATTTATACCACCACTGATAAGCATCTAAGAAAGCCTTAGCATGGAGGTCTAGAACACAGTTGAAGCAGCTACTTCCTGTGGGCTTGGGCGGTGACTCTGGAGTTCTGCTGGCGAATGGTGTGCAAATGGTGTGCCACTTGCCTGGCGAGTCTGCCCGGGGTGAGAGCAGGTCAGCAGGCTGGCACACCCTTCCCTGGAAGCTCGTATTGTGGTTTTGTACACTGGGATTTTGGGAAGATATTTTTTAGGGCGAAAAAGTAAAGGATCACATTGCCATTTAAGGAAGGAGAAAACTATCCTCTTCAACACAGAACTAATTTTTTGAGTTTTATTTTTTTTTTATCACACAAGGGTTTTAGCAGAAACAGTCTCTGGGTAGTTTCTAGCCATTGTTAATTGCCCCTGATTTGTGAACAGTTGTCTAATAATTGACGCTCATCATCGAATTGTTCCAGGTGTGGATGTGTGGTGGCGAAATTGAGATCGTTCCCTGTTCCCGCGTGGGCCACATCTTCAGAAGTGACAATCCCTATTCCTTCCCCAAAGACCGCGTGAAGACAGTGGAGCGGAACCTGGTGCGGGTTGCTGAGGTCTGGCTGGATGAATACAAAGAGCTGTTCTACGGCCACGGGGACCACCTCATAGACCAAAGGCTGGACGCCGGCGACCTGAGCCAGCAGAGGGAACTGAGGAAGACGCTGAAGTGCAAAAGCTTCAAGTGGTACTTGGAAAACGTCTTTCCTGACTTGAAGGCTCCCCTTGTGAGAGCCAGTGGTGTGGTAAGTCTACCCGGCAACTTAAAATCTTGCTCCATAAAAGAAAAAAAAGTTCTTGCAAGTGTCTGGAAAAAAGGAATTATTTTCTTATAAATAAACACCGAGCACGCATGCCAATAAGACAAAGCACCGTTGATGCTTAAATAGAGGTACACCTGAGGCAGGCAGCCACTGCCACTGATCAGTTCAACAGACACTGCTGTGTATGGGGAGACCAGATAATATTTTGCTACTGGATTGAAGGTTGATAAATAAAGTGGACTTGGTCCTTTCCTTTGGAACTCAGGGTTGACCAGAGAAGAAAGGCAATAAGCAAGTGAGCAGATGTAAATAGTAAAATGTAATCATTCTGATTTAGAGAGGGGGCCACAAGGCGTGGCTCCTTCTAAGTGCACGTGGTCAGGAAATTCTCCTGAAGAGGGAAGAATGGTGCCAGGGTGTGCAGGGAAACGGAGAGCGAGGAGCAGCAGTCCGGGCCCACAGCCTCCCCCACGCACACTGCTTTCTTTATTGCGCTTCCTTCCTTCTCTTTAGATGTAATGGGAATTTATTAAGCAAGGTTAGGTAATAGGAGGACACACTTTAATCAGGATTTGAAAAAAGAAAAAATCTCAAGTTACAAAGAATGCTTGAAAATAACAGAAACCAACAGGGAATAGCAGATGACATTCCAGAGCTCAAGAAGGGTTATGAAAAGGGAAAAGGCTAACCTTTTAGATGCGCTGGGTAAGTACAAAGAGAGGAGAAATTCGAGGAGGAGGTGGTCTGGGGAACACGCCGTCTCAAGCCTGTGCTAGGAATAAGCTTCGTTGGATGAGGACGCGAAGCTACGCGGGAGTGGAGCTCAGTAGGGGAGCGCACTGCAGCGGCAGGTCAGCTCCGCCTCCGCTGGAATTATTTTTAATCTCTTGTATTTTCCTTCCGATTTTATGCTTGTGTATGAATACTACAGATATTCCTCTGTTTTCTTTAGAAGTTTGCTTTTTTCCTCTCTTCATCCACGTTCTCCGATGTGACCATCAGTAAGCCTACTCTCTCAGGCCAAGGATTTCCCGCTCTTCCCAGAAAAATATTCTCACCATAGAAAATTTTCCTTTCCTAACAAAATTTCAATTGAAGCGTTACTCAACTTTCACCACAAGAGGGCGCTGTGAACCTATCTTTTAGTTCTGCTGTACCGCGGAGGGTAGTTGAAGTGTGAAGGGAAAGTATTCAAGTACAGAAATGTCACAATGAAACCCTTTAATAGTGTGATTAGCATGTTACAGTTATGATAAAGTAAGTTGTAAAAAGAGTTCCCATAAAGTTTTTCCACAACTCTCACAATGAAATAGGCTTTCCTGATGCTTGGACTATATCAAAATGCAGCAGTTCTTTTTGAAATGACTTTAACAGATCTCTTCCTTCCGTTGCCCTGTTTTTATCTTTTGCTTTCTCTAGAAAAGAAATGTTAACAAACACGTCATTTGGTCCTCTCGAAGCAACCACCTGGGAGTTTTATCACTTTTTTAAAAGAATAAAAATAGGGAGAAAAAAGAAAGAAAAGAAATGGCACAAAATTTCACTAAATGGAATGATAGAAATTCAACCACATATGTGTGTGTGTGTGTGTGTGTGTATGTGTGTGTATGTGTGTGTGACATATGTGATATATATTACATATATATGATATATATATATATCATATTGTCTTCAAATTAGTTGTTCAGATTACCAGATATAAGCATGCAAAATTGCAAAATTGGTCAAAAAATTAAAAAGATGAAAAAATAAACTTTAACTGCTCCTTTCTGTTCAATTTGACTATTGAACGGAAATAGTCAACTCTTTCAATAGACCAATAGAGATCAACAGCACAATTATCCAGGTTATCCTGTACATAGACATATGTTTTTCCTCCTCCTCTTTCTTCTTTTCCTCTCTCCCTCATACCACTTGTAAGAATGGCTGTCATCAGGAAATCAACCAATAACAAATGCTGGAGGAGCTTCGAGGGAAAAGGAACCCTTCTCCACCGTTGACAGGAGTGTAGATTGGTGTCGCCATTATGGAAATCAGTGTGGAGATTCCTCAAAAAACCTCTAATCAGGTTCCATTCAACCTAGCTATTTCAATCCTGGGTAGTTTTCTAAAAGAACTGGTAATGTCATATCATGGTGACATACGTGTGCCCATGTTCATAGAAGCACAATTCATCACAGCTAAATCTTGGAAACAAGCTCAATACACATAAACTGAGGAATGAATAAAAAGATGTGGCATTTTTATACAGTAGAGTATTACTAAGCTATAAAGAAAGATAAACTCAAGCCTTTTTTAGGTAAATGAATACTACAGACCATTCTCGTAAATGAAATAAATCAGAGCCTCGTGTATAAACATTGTATTGTCTCCCTAGTGTAAGAACCTGAAAGAGTAAATGAAATCCAAAAGGTACAATAGATATTACGAGAGGGAAAGAAAATATTACTATTTTTAATTCAGAATAAGATTAACTAGACCATTATTTGAACAATCTTGAAAACGCCCAAGCAAATAAATGCCACATTTTCAGTCTTGTACTCCACATTTTCCAGCCTACATACTTATGAATTCAAATCCCATGAATGTTGTTTTTTAAAAAAAAAGTAAGAACAATTTCTCATCGAATCAAATATATCTGAAACTAATAAAATAATTTCACCAATGATGTGTTTTTCATTGGATTACATTGTTAGCAAACAGCCTATAAGTCTAAGATTTAACAATTGTGTAAGAAGTTGTGGGGAATTTCCAAATCTAGAGTTTGGAAAACAAATAGCTTAATACAGAAAATTGAAAATGTATGCACTGCCTAATTTAAAGGGTTATGGGGAGGTTGAAATGGTTTACAAGAAAATAATAAATTCTTTAAAAATGAAAATGCTTGAAAGCTATTCACAATGAAGTAAAGAAGAATAACCCTTTGCACTTCCTAGATCGTACATAAGAAAAGAAGTTTCCCAATGAGCTTTGATAAGAAAGAAGGTCTTCAGCTGGAATGAAGGAGAGGGCTATCGGCCCAGGACAGTTGTCCCTTGCTCGCAGTTCCTTCTGTGCTTAGAGGAAGGCTGCGCATCAAATGAGCACAATGAAATCAGTTAACCCGAGGAGTCTCGAACGCCATTTAGTTGTCCTGCAAGGTCACCGGCCCGTGACCCCGGGAAGCACCCTGTACCCAGCCGTGGCCGAGCTCGCGGCTGGCACGCGCCTGCTGCTGAAGGACGACCCGCTCCGCTGTGCTGGAACCCACGTCCAACCTGCTTTAACGATGGAGTATTTTCTGCTTTATCCAAGACTGTAGAAGCTGGTACTGTTTCTGCTAATAGCCAGAGAGCAATCCGAGTGATTTCCCATCTTTACAGTCCAGGAGTATTCTCTCTTCACGTTTACGTTCACTCCCCTTCCTAAATTAGTGTGATTGGATTCTTCTTTCTGTTAGAACGTCTCACATGTACTAATGCTCCCATATTTGTCATTTTAAATTGTGAACAGAAGTTTCTCTGAGGAGTTTTGATGGAGATCCTGTTCCTCTGGAATTATTTTGTGGTCTTCTTTGCCAGAGACCTCAGGGATGAACGACCTGCTATTACTATGTTTTTAATGTTTACTTCTGCACCCTGAAAATTAGGAAGGGCTCCTATCTAATGAAAGTGGTAAAATTTTCTTCTCAAAACCAAGTGAGTATCAGTGCAAGGTTTCCTTAAAAAATAAACCCTAGCTTCCCAGGATAACCAGTGAATCATTTTCCCTAGTACACCATTCTGCTGAGGGTCACTTTTCTGTGAAAGGTGACCATTCTAGCTCCAGCGCATCTATGCCCAAGTTTGTCACCAGTTCTAGTAAGAAGAAATGTCCCTTGCTTACCAAGCTAGCAATTTCCCCTGTTTTACTTTTCCCTGTATTTTTGCATCCCTGACATTGCTCCTTGATTCTTTTAAGTTAAGCTATGCATGTAAAAGTGGGGCCAACACCCTGGCCACTTCGTTATGAAGTTTGGTGGTCCTATGAGCCACACAGCTCACTCTGATTTGATCTCTTGTTAGGCACTACAAAACAGAAAGGGGCCAATTTATCATCCCTAGCAACAAAGCCCTCCAGCTGCCAATTCAGGAGGCTTTCCTGGTCTATAGATCCATCTGTACGTCGCTCTCCTAGAAGCCTGAAAAGCCTAAATTGCATTATTAACCTACCACCTCCATAGTTCTGCCCAGGATGGCAAAGAGGATGAAGGAATCAACACTTTTCTGCATTAAGTGGTGACTGATAGAAAGCTACCTCCTTATTTGACCCTGTGAATCCATTAAAAACCTGGGGGCCTGCCAGAGAGTCCTTTATATTTGACGCAGTGTTAGCTTTCATGACTTTCCTATAATGAATTGTAGCTCCCTTGGATCATTAGAAAGATTCTGATGGAGAATCGGCTGGAATCCGCCATTCTTTGAAGGACTCAGTCTATCTATGATTCAGTGCCTACGCGCATAGCACGGAGGGTTCAGCCAAGCAATGCAGCTGTTTGATTGAATTGCAAGCATGTGCCTTGACTTTTAATACCTACATCAGATAAATCCAAGACAAGAAAATAACTGCTTTCCAGGCTACCTTTTGCTCACTTGTCGTTCGGCATCTGAGCCAGGGTTAATTAAAAGCTACATTTTCTGACTCTGGGGCTAAATCTTGGGCCTAAGTTGACAGATTGAAGCTGTACAGCAGCAAGATTGTATTATGTCTCCATTAGAGCTAGCAACCGATAAAATCATATTGTACTAAGGACTGCTGCTATTAACTGTCTTTTAACCTTATCATAGCTTTGTAGTTTGTGTTATAAATGTGTCTGAATGTTTTATTCTACTTCAAAATGCTTTATCTTTTAATTCATATTTTTTTTGTATTCTGCTTTGTAGCTTATTAACATGGCACTGGGTAAGTGCCTTTCCGTTCAAAGCACCACAGTCACCCTGGAGGCGTGTGAAGCAAGTAGCACGGTAGGCTTACTGCAACTTTTACCTCATGGTTGATAGGTGCAATCTCTGGCATGTTTGCTTACCACTTAAGAAATTTATGTTCACTAAGTAGAAACCCATAATTACTCTCTAGACTCCAGTATGACCATAAGGCTAAGGTAAAAGTGCACCGTGAAAGGCAATGACAACAACTGAAAGAATTAAAGAGTGTTGGCACCCAAATCTTCCACCAGGCCCACTACATTCATTTGCAAAACTGTTAATTTTGAAAGTTCTTTAGCCCTTAGGGATATGGGAGTAATGATAGTGCTTACCTCTTTCTAGGGCTGAGGCTGGTATAAGGTAACACATAGGAAACTTGTAGGACAATACCTCATGCTTGGTGCTCTGTAAATGTCACTGCATTAAAAATAACAAAGAAAGAACATAAGAAATGGGTAACCTAATGGACAGAGAGATAGCTCAGTGCCATAAGCATGTGCCTGGCAAGCACAAGGTCATGAGTTTGATCCCCAGTAACAACAACAAAATAAAAGGTTTTAGGGGGCCTGCCCATTAGCTCAGTTGTTTAAGTGACAGCTTAAACAAAGCAATGGGGATGCTGTGGTTTGATCCCCAGATCCTCAAGCCTTACCAGACCTGCCCTGAAGGCAACCTGAGCCAGCCAAAAAAAAAAACCCCATAGAAATGGGTAACCTATAAAGATAATGATAGAGAAAATAAAGAGACTATATCAGTAAGTAGTCATCCAACAGCAGCAGCTTTTCTTTGATTCCATCCTTCATACATCTTCAGGGAGTAATGGAGGTCACTTAATCCCATGACCCAGGATGGAGAAGCCTGAGGCAAGATTCTCCAGACTAGAGCACAACTTCTAGGAGAGGCAGTAGGGCCCAGGAAACCAGAACAGGGCCTGCTCCTGCCTGCCGCGCTATGGATGAGCCCAGGGGTCACACCTTCTCCAAGTATGCTCCCTAACAGCTCTACCTTCTGGTAACAGCCATCTTGTTTGGATGCCAAATAAAGTGCACAGGAACATTGGTTTGCGAGTAGCAATTGGCCCCCCAAAAAACTAAGTTTACTCTGTAGTAGAAAAATTATTTTCCACTGATAGCCAAGGCTTATAAACGAAGTCTTACTTCTTTTACTCGAAATGTTTCTTACATTTTCAAACATACCCCTTCTCTACCTATTAATTTAAAAAGCTGTTACTAGAAAAGTAAGGATCTTGGTTGCTATCATTCAAGTACAGATTATAAACTCTAGCCCTTGGGGATTCTATTAATTAGGAAAGAGGGGAGACAATAAAGTGAAAGTATCCAACAATTCAATTGAAAGGAACAACTTGTTTATTAACCAGGGCAAAGTGAAAATAAAATTATAAGCTATAAGATGAGACCGCAGTTAGGCTAAATGACAGGCAAATATTAAATAATGTAACTTTCAAGATGCATCATTATGGGGAATTACTGTGCCTGATAAAATAATATTTCTTCTAAAAAACAGCCTGCGCCTGGGTACGCACTGAGTGTCTTGGGGAGGCAGGGCGACCGAGGCACGTCTTTCACGGAGCTCAACATCCCCATTTAGCTAACTGCTCGCTGTTGGCTTACTTAAGCAATAAAAGGGACAGAAACATCGAAGAAGTTAACAGTGCAGGCACAAATGAAAAGGATTGTTGCAAGCTCCTGAGAATGGTATTCGGCCAAGAACAGTTGAAAAGGAGGAAAGCCCTCAGGTGGGGCCATCAAACACTACCTTTGCACTATCTAGAGATAATCTTCTTAGTTTTTAACTTTCAAGACAGTTGAAATGTCGTTTTCAAGGTAATGCTCAGCTTATCTTAGTAGTTTTACTGTAAATCGTGTAGGTGGAAAACACTAGCTTGTGAACAACTGTAGACAGAGAATATTTTTAAGGACTGAAAACCTGGTTCCATTAACAGAATCAGTGTTTATTTTAGATACTGTCAATTGTTCAAAACCAGACATTTGCAAGAGCAGCTCCTGTAAACTGAGAAATGCTCACATGGTTTCACCTCATGATTCTTTGCCCTAAAAGAAAAGAAAGATTTCAATGTGTCCCACCATGGAACAAAGCCATGAGTCCAGCTGTCTACACATTCGGGAACAAGACGACATCATAATTTCCGCCAAAGAAATTTAAGACTGTGACTGATTTCCCTGAGACCACTCATGGCTCAGAAGCCTAGTCAATATTAAGTTTTACAAATTTCAGTGCCGGCCAAATAGCTCAGCAGATTAAAGCACCTGCAAGCAAGCACAGGGGCCGGAGGTTCGATTTCCCATCTGCCCTCGTGGTGCGTGCCTGTAATCCCAGCTCTTGGCAGGCTGTAAACAGGCGGAGCCCTATGAGTCCAATCTAATAGTGAGACCCTGAACACCCTGTAGACCCTTCCCTAAATATACAAAATAAATAAATAAATAATAGAATAAATTTTTAAAAATCAAAACAAATTTCGGCACTTCAAGCATCAGAATTGTCTGGAATTCAGAACACCTGAAACAGCATCATATGCAGATATGTACCATTGTAATACAGTAATCATTTTTTGTTACTGTAAGTAACATTTGTTGAGGTCTTTCTGCATGCTAAATGTTCTATAGACATTATACTCTGTGATAATTTTGTTATACAACTTAAAAATGAGAAAAGTAGCCAGGGAGATAGCTCATCAGCATAGACAAATGCCTGGCAAGCTTAAGGTCCTGAGTTTGACCCCCAATGAGGGGTAAAGAAAAAAGAGAGAAAGATAAGATTAGACTGAATAAGCAAAATGTTCATACTATCACAATTGAAAGTGGTAGTACAGGGAATTGAATATAACTCATCATTAGCCCAGTTTAGTGGCACCCACCTATAATCTCAGCTGTGCGGGAGGATGAGGGAAGAGACTCCTTAGTGTGAGCCCAGCCCAGAGTACTTACCTGACTTACTGGGACCTTGAGAAAAATTTTAAAAACAAATTTAAGGTGGGGATACTGAGGATGTAGCTCAGCGAGAAAGCCCTGGCTTCAATCTCCAGTACTTCAAAAAATGTATAAACCAAACCAACTAACTATATTTTTAACTATGCTATCAAAAATGTTTGGCAAGATCTCTGTTTGCTACCTGAAGTGACTTTTGCTTTATTCATTTCCTCTACAGCTCCAGCAATTTAATTATACCTGGTTAAAATTTATTAAACATGGAGAGTTATGTTTAGCTCCCATCCCTGACAAAGGATCCCTGAAGCTGAATACTTGTGATTACAGAAGCAAAGGACTGAAATGGTTGCATAAATTAACATCCGTCTTCCACCCAGAACTGGTAAGCAAAATGATGCACCTCTTCTTTACTACAAATTCACCTTTAAGTCAAGTGGAACACAAACTCTCCACTGTTAGTTGCTTCATTCAGAAGCTTTAAATGTGTTTGTGACAATAAAGGCAGTGTACAAGTTCACTCAAAAGATAAACAGATGTTTTTCAATAAATTATCAAGTCTACCTTTTATTTTTAGAATTAACTTCAAAGAATGATTTTAAAAAGGGGCTGGCCAAATAGCTCATGGGCCGGCCAAATAGCTCAGTGGATTAAAGTGCCTATAATCAGGAGCAAGGGCCTGGGATTTGATCCCTCGGCTTGCCTTCCTAGCCCCACCCTGGGGTGCACTGAGACAGCAATTGAGACTGGGCGGGTGGCGCAGGCCTGTATTCCCAGCTCTTGGGAGGCTGTAGATAGGCGGATCACTACAAGTCCAATCTAGTAGTGAGACCCTGAACACCCTGGAGACCCTTCCCTAAAAACTACAAAAAATAAAAAAAAGAAAGAAAAGAAAAATACAAAAAATAAAATAAAAAGAGTTCACCCCATTCTTATGGCTGTATTGTCAGTTGTAACCTTTATTTCTAAAAGTCACTTGCTTCATCCAATCAACAATGCTAAAAATAAGGGTGATAGGCTGAAATCAACTGTTATTAAAAATCCTATAGGGAAGATACAAGGAAAAATCTGGAAGCTCCGTGCTTACTATAAACTCTGCCTTTGAGTTTGGGTCTATATTTTCATTCTACCCTCTTTCCATACAAAAGAACTTTTTCTCATCCCCTATTGGTTCTCAAGGCCTGTCCTCTCTGAGAAGTATAGGGAGCAGCTCTCATAGGAAGCTGACTCTAATTTCTCACCACCTTTCTGATCCCTGATGTCAGTGGTCAGCCTGAAACCAGCTATGGTGAGAGTCCATACCCGGAAAACTGCAGACACCACTGGATCAGGAAGTGTTTCCAGAGCTCACCCTGAACATTCACCGGAACTTTCTGTCTGTCTGTCTGTCTGTCTGTCTGTCTGTCTCTCTCTCTCTCTCTCTCTCTCTCTCTCTCTCTCTCTCTCTCTCACTCACACACACACACACACACACACACACACACACACACACAATATCACAGTAATGGGCTTTTTTCTTTCTCACTTTTGTGAATTTTTCATATATATATATATATATATATAGAGAGAGAGAGAGAGAGAGAGAGAGAGAGAGAGAGAGAGAGAGAATTACAAACTTCGGTGTAGGATCTTGAGATGACAGGAATAATCTCAGGATTGCATTCTCAAGTTTCCTTCCATCTCACTAAGAAGTAGTCACCAAATCCACACAATACATCAAATACACAAAAGCCATTATTTTGCCCAGAGCTCCCTGCTCCTTTCTCCACTGGACCATCTCCACTGGCTTCTTCCTTTTGATATTACAGTTGGTGACAATTCTTTTTTCTGCTTAGAGCCAAAATCAGGGCCTGGGCAGTACATAGTCCAAACCTGTGTCTATCCATTTGACTTTCTCTGTTATATTTTAATTCCTTCTGGTTTAAGTTTCTTTTTTCTCTTTAATGATAATGATTATGATAGAGTTACTCAGTAAAATTAACATCTCTGATACGTATGTTGGCATTTTTATTTTGCATACTGTAGTGGAATTCATAATCAGCTACTCAATAAATTACCTCTTATTTTGTCCTTCTTTGTCCTTGTGCTAAAGAAGAAGGGAGGGAGGGAAGAAGAAGAGAAAAAAAGAGAGACAATAGTTAAAGCATATCCATCCCTCATCTCTATAATTGTTGGGAAAGACTTCTGATGAGAAAATATTTATACAGGCTTTCCTAAAAAATAAGCTGATTTGATAAAACAGTTAATTTAGTTAAGATAACAAAAGCTAGAAATCTACCTCGTTTGTACCTGTGACTTAGGGGCATGCTGCCTGTATGCTTTTTCCCTTGTATTCCCCTTTGAGGTTAACAGATAGTCGTGCAAAATGATATCACAGTAATGGGCTTCTTTTTCACTTTTGTGAATTTAATATGAAGTCTCCTAAACCCCTGTGTCAGTCCATCTTCCATGACCATAGCAAAATGCTTTGGATGATTACATTGTGAAAGGAACATACGTGTGTTGGCTCACTGCTACGGGGGTTAAAGCTCAAGATCAGTTTGCTGCTTTGGCCGTGGGGAGGCAGCACGTTGTGGTGGGGTGCGTGGCACAGCAGAAGCACTTGCCAGAAAACAAGGAAGAGAAAGGTCCCATGGTCCTCCGCAAGGCTGCCCCAGTGGCTTCTGTCGGGCCCCACTTCTCTAAGCTTCCACCAGCTCCAACAGTACCACCCGAGGGACCCAACCTTCAACACTAAAACTCAGTATACAGCAGTCCTCAAGGAAATCCAGACCTCAGAGCATAACAGAAACGAAGAGAATGCCGATAACAGGAAGCCATCTCCTTTTAGAAAGAATCAGATGTTAGAAACTTTGTAAAGAAGGGACAATAGTTTACTATAGATAATATTAGTTGCTCAAATGATCTGTGAAACTGCTTCAGAGGTGCTCCCAGACGCTAGCGCCCCAGATGCCTTGCACCCTGGCTTCCCTAGAGAACGCTCTCACAGGCAGCTGACGTGGAGTGTCTCACCACCCTCTGGTTCCTACCTCCCGTGGCTTTAGGTTGGGAAACGGGTGACTCAGTTACCTATTTACAACTCATTAGCAGAACACTGTTGCCACAGGATGATTTTCCTTTTTTATAAAAAACCTTGAATAGAAGCTAGCATTGTATGTAGTAATATGTTTTAAAAAATTATAATGAAAATCACTCCCATTTTTGTAAAACTTTCAAATTATTTTAAAATATTTAATTATAAGATTATTATTTCATAATTGTTGGTGGGTGAGAGGATTAGATTTAAAATATGTAAAACTCTAAATAGATCCTAAATGGGTTAGTTAACATTTCCAAGATATTCAATAAATATTAAGCAAGAATAGCGCCCTTTGAAATGCTTTGGTTTTTTCCTAAATTAATCTGACTTAGGGATATCAAATTATGTTCCATCAAAAATTGTGGTAAAGAGATCATAAATAAAATATATCACTTTAGTATTTTGTCATATAAAAGTTCATTGTAAAATATGAATGCAATGCTTCCTGTTTGGCATATTTTTTTCTTTGCTACCACTACTGAGGTAGTCATCACTCATCAAATATATTAGTGTTAGGTACAAACCTATGCAATTGACCTGACCAGGCATTCTGCCATGAGAAGACTTGTTGGAGGTAGGAACAAGTGGGCTGGCTGTCTCGTGGACCAAGAGAGTAGTGAACAAGGCATAGCACAGGGCTTTTAAGGGGTGTTGTGGGGAGAGTGTTTGTGGACTGGAACTGCTGAGGGACAGCTAATCTTGGCAGGGCTACCTGGCCTATGGCGGACTTTTGAAGTTAACAAAGGAGAGTTTCTGTTGTTTTCTGCCCAGGTCAAGGGGAACTGAGCTGAAATCAGGGTGTAGAACAAGGCAGGGCTGGCCCAGGGCCAAGACAGGGAGAGCTGGGGGCAGGGTGCCTGGGAAACTTTGAGTCCTAGCCTTTCAATCAGATGCCATTTGGAATTTTTCTCTTTAAATAAGGCAGTTACTAAGAATGAGAACTTAGTTTAAGATAAAAGTAGCTTAATACTTAAGCCTGTGTTTATGTAACTAATTTAGTTCAAGAGGATTCTTAAGGAATAAAAAATATAATTACTTGTTTTGGAGATGTTCCATTTTTCTGTTTAGTTTTCTTTTATTCTTAAAGGGAACACAAAATGTAGTAAACAAACAAACAAAAAAACAAACAAAAAAAAACACATTAGAAATGATACAGAATTTCACTTAACAAAATGATGGCGGGGGGGAGGGGGCAAATAGCTTAGCAGATTAAAGGGCCTACAAGCAGGTGTAGGAGCTGTAGTTCAATCCCTGGGCCTGCCATGCTGACCCCACCCCCAGGGCATGTTGAGATGGCAATTGAGACTGGACATGGTGGCATGCACCTGTAATCCCAGCTCTTGGGAGGCTGCAAACAGGAGGATCACTACGAGTCTGGTCTAGTAGTGAGACCCTGAACACCCTGTACACTCTTCCCTAAAATATAAAAAAAAAGGGGGGGGGGAAATGGGTAGGAATACAGTGGTTGTTATATTGCTCATGGTTGTCTTCAAATTGGTTGTTCAGATTATCAGATATAAGCCTGCTAAGATTGCTCAAAAATTTTTCAAAAATTGGAAAGGAGAGAAAATACTTCCATTATTAGTTCCAGCTGGAAGTTCATGCCCCTTTCCTCTTTTTCTCCAGGTAAATCACATTGTTTTTGAAAACTCACATCAATTATTGTGCCTGGAAGGAAATTTTCCTCAGAAGACCCTGAAAGTAGCTGCTTGTGACTCAATGAAACCACATCAAAAGTGGAAATTTGAAAAGTACTATGAAGTCTAAAGAGGAGCCAATGTTTCATCCATAGTACTGTAGCTACTTACCTGTTGAATAACAGTGAACTTGGTGACTATATTTCTCAAGGTCATTTACATTTTCAATTCTAATAGCAGCTGAATGGAAGATTTTTAAAAGTCACAATATTTGGAATACCAAAAAAAATTACTCTGTAAAAGACTCCACCATTTGGCTAGAGTCCTTTCCCATCCTGGGTGGCCTTTGGAATTGCCTACGTCCTTCCCTGCTCTAATTCATCCTGCAAGTTGCTCCCAGGAATCTCACAGGTAACTGGAAATGAAGACAGGTGTGGGGAAGCACAACGATACAATAGTAGTATCTCATAATAACTGCATCTTTTGGCCTACAAGTAAAGAGATATGCAATGAGAACCTGTCCTTTATTGTCTAATTTTTCATCACACAGAATCTGCTAGAAGTCTTATAGGTACAAGACCTTAGACAGATCCATAAAGCTGTTGAAACCCTTCCAGACTAATGTATGTTTATTGAACATTTGAAATAGTATTGATCCCTATTGATAACTTTACCTAGTAGCAAATAATAATTTGATATAGACTGTTATGTAATTTTTTTTTAGTGTGAGTCAGTGGAAAAAATTTAAGAAATAAGTAAGAGGCCTTTAAATATTTGTTTAATTGTAGTTATAGACATTTCATATTTAAAAATTGACTGTGCCTGTAACTTTTAAGATTTATGTGGATAGTTAAAAAAAATCTGGTTCACAACACATTGTCATCACCAAAAATGCTTTTAAGTAGAGAACACAATCTAGTGTAGGAGCGTGTGAGAAGAGGTGACAAATTTGAAACACTACTGGGAAAATCATTTTTAACAAGTACTACTTCCTGGGGAAGAGGTATGCTAAAATCTAGAAGATCACAAAGTAGAAATAAAAGAAACATGATTAAGAAAAAGAAAGAAAAGGAGACAAACAGCTCTTAGGAAAGAAGCTAAGAAAAAAATTGTCCTAGACCTGACCAAAGAAGAACAGGGACCTGGTACTTCCAAGGGGGAGAGAAAAGGTAAAGCCCTAAATATGAATTCAAAGTTAACATGACAAACCTGAGAGAAACGAGAAACTCAACTATTTCCTTGTTGCAATATATATATATATATATATAGAGAGAGAGAGAGAGAGAGAGAGAAAGAGAGAGAGAGAGAGAGAGATGTAGATATATATAGATATATATAGATATATTTAGCAAGCATAGCAAAAAAAAATTTAGAAATCAGAATATCCTTTACAGTCAATACCCAAAGACAAATGATCTGTCTATTATAGACCAATAGTGGTAGGATCAGTGTCTCTGGAGAAAGGGTTCATTCTTTGTTCTACTGGTGCAAGCAAATCAGTTCCACAGCTGTCCTTAGAAAGAGATATGTATCCCTGTGATACCCTGTGGCATGGGGTTCACAATATGGGGTTCACATATCCCTGTGAATCCTGTGGCATGCCCATGGGATTCATGCTACTATTTTTATTTTTTCTCAAATCTTTGTTCAGTTGAGATGATGCTCATACTGAGCATTTTTAGTTTTTACTTCCTATTTAACACTTAATTTTAACTTCTAGCTATTTCACAAAAGCAGAGCTATTAACTAAGAGTGGGAAGGGGGAATATTTTTGAACATTTGTGACATATTTAAAATGTTTTATTCAGATAATTTACAATTGCAGATGAGATAAAAGAACAACTAGAAAATGATACAGTTCCTTTCAAAACAGCCAGTTGGTGTGGGGGAGGGGCAAGCCTGCTGCCAAGGCACTTGCTGAATTACTGACCACACTGGGTGCCATATGCAATTCTTCTTGTAACTGACAAATTCTGAAAGTCCCTACCCCAGCCTATATAGCCTCTGTTTTATCCAAAATAGGTCCCACAAAGAAAAGTAAGCCTTGTTTAGAAAAAGATGATCTATAATTTGAAAATACCTTCTTTGAAGTTTACCAGCTGAAGAAGAAAGCTGAATACTTTTCTCAAAAGAACCTTCTCCCATCTGCTTACCGTACGCTCTTCTTGATTTTACCTTGACATACTTATATAAAGCTATAATTGAGTGTATATTGTCAATAGCACAAAAGATTGTTTTGGAACATCACTTTATTTGTTCTTGGGAAGAATTTCTAAATCCTTTTGTTATGTAAGTGCTCAGTTTCTCTAAGATTACAAAGAGCTAATCACCAGTTAGAATCTGTGTGGGCCTCACCTTAAGAGTATTGACTAATTGTCAACTCTATTACCTATAACGTAAAAAAAAAAAAAGAAGAAAAAAGAATCATCTTCTAAATTTTTATTAGAAGACTGGCATAAGCATGTAAATGTTCCATAGATCATCATGGAATTTTAATGAAGAAACCTCAAATGGGCCACATGAGGGTCCCAATCAGCCCTGAGTCCTTCAAGGAGCAGGTTATGCTCTTCTAATTGACTAGAATTGGCTTAGATTATTGCCTGATCAGGAAAAAGTTGTCCATACATCTTCACTTAAACATTGGATAATATTAACAGGACTTATTTGATACAAACAAACAAACTAGCTTTCTAAACCATCAAAAAGTTTCTGTGCCTTTGGGTTTGCCCAGTTGCTTTCTCTCTTCAACAGTACCCAGAACATCCACTCCACTCTCCTGAGGATGACACAGCTGTTGTTGGTACAGCCATGTTTTATCTCCAGCCTCTAGTTTGCCCAGTTCTGCTTGCTGACATTCAATTAGCTGTCACTCACAGGGCTGCATGGAGCCATGTGCCATGCTGGCAGCTTCACCACACTGACTTGGAAGCATCCTCTTAGATATGAAACCATCTTCCTTCTGATACTGTCTAGAAGACGGCACCAGGGCAAGGAGACCAATTGCTGTGTACAGGAATTCAGTATTCCCAGCTGGTCTTGACTTCTAAACCAGCTGAAAATGACTTTAAGAATCTTTTTTGAAGAGAATGGGGATGAAGCATACTAGATAGCATCTTCTTTTTTATTCAAACATTTCTAATTTAAGTTTCATATTCAGTACACAAGAAAAAAATATCTCTGCTAGAGATATCGTCTACAAGGATAAGGAAATGTCAAGAGGTAAGGGCACAAAAGAGAGGAGCCAGCCACCATTGAATGCTCCCCGTCCCACTGAGTGGGTCACGTTGGAGCAGTAAGTCTCATTCTCCCCTAACACAGAAGAACGAATATCCACTGCACTGAGGAGAGAATTGCTACTTCATTATTAAGAGATAAAACTCAGTTACCATTCTATCTGCTCCCCAAAAAAGTTTCTTTCCCTACACCATATTGATCCAGGGAAGTAAAACTGGTCTTGGGTGAATGACTTCCAAACCATACAAGGAACCTCCAAATGACATAGAGAAAAACAATCTCCCGACCTGACCTGCACGAGTTCGTGTTCTCTAAAACTGAAGAATGAATTTTAGGAACAAATGGAGGTTATGAGCAGAATATATTTATTGAGAGAAAGAAAGCTCCTGTCCAAGAGAGGGACAGGAGGGGGGCCCAAGCGGGTAGTTCCCCAGGAAGCTGTCTCTTCCAGGGACTTTTATAGTGTAAAACCATGTGAGGCTAAGGTAGAGAGAATGGGAACCCGCTTAGGTGGGCAGGAGGTGGGACAAAACTATGGTCAACCAATGGGATTACAAGCACCATTGCTCAGGTAAAACTGATTAAATCCAGTATCAAATGGGAAAGTAAGTCACATAGCAAGTGGGCATGAATACGGAACAGGGTCTCTTCCTGTTGGGGATTGGGCTAGTGATTCATCTGGGCTCTTTCAAGTTGACTGATAATATTTAGAATATGAATCCCTAATGCCCATCCCTAGGGAAGTATGTAGCTGTGCTTCCTCTTTTTGTCTTGGTCATGAGATGTGGCCCATATGGGAGTGTCTGTCTCTTCCAAGTTGCAAAGTCACCTTGTCTTCCATCTTATCTCCTTGAGGGCCTGACCCTATCTGACTGCCTATAATATTTCTGTCTAACTCAGCTGCCTGCAACAATATTATTAAATAAATAGAGCCATCAGGCAGGCCCAGTTAAAATTCCCCATGACTATAGACCATTGACATCACAGAAAATGTAACTCGTTGAACTTAAACAACTTCCACCTGTCTTCACTGCTGAGTGGAGGGGAAGTGGAAGCTAGGCCTCAGGTAAGCAACTTTTGTGGAGAGATAGGTGGACTGATGACTCCACGTGTCTCCAGTGGCTCTACACCATTGACCTCTTATTTCCTATCTTCTCTACCACATATAAGAAACAAAATAAATATGTAGAGTTGCCTTTTCTTTCTTTTTCACTGGGTATTTAAGCAAAGCTGATAAATCGTTCCATTTGAACACAGATGAAAAATTTAAAAATTGAAGAATCTTTCCCCCTAAAATTCACACCATGGTTTTCAACTCCACTTGAGTCGATTGTCACTGTAATACCTTTGCAGCAACTGTTTCTTGGGTTATTCAAAAGTTGCTGTAAGCCAAATTGTGTTAAAATAAGAAAGAATAAACCCAACGAAAGCTATTGTAGAAAATATTTCTATTTTCACAAATACCCTATCAAAAAGTTTGAATAAGCCCTACAAAGTATTTTGTTGCTCAGTGAGGCCACCTGGATGGTGTTTCAGGTATTGGCAGTGTATATGTCTCAGAGAAAGAAAGAAAAAGAAAAAATCAACACACAAAGTGGATTTAACGTATCTGTTTTCAACCTAATGGATCAACTACCCAATACCATTTCAATTAGGGATCTCTTTGCAAGTTTACCTGAGTCTTTGCTTTGTAAAAACACAAGTGAAAATTTTCATTTTCCAGCAATAGGGCAACTTCAAATATGCTGAGAGCCTAGTAAGGAAAATTGACATAAAATAAGTACAAAATAATTGCTTTGAAAACAGAGATCACATATAATCAAATACATTTCTATTTTATTATTGATTGATAGATATTTGCCTAAAGATATTCACTATAAATATCTTTATGAATAAAGCTTTTATGGTAAGTGTTGAAATCAAACTTTTTACTAACATGAGTAAAAATTTGGAACTTTACCTGATAATTTGAAAATACCACTTGTTATGGTTTGTGTCCAGGTGTCCCCCCAAGGCCTCATGCAGTCTTGGGGTGGCTTGGGGTGGCTTCTGCAGTTTGTGATTGATTACTGTGGGTGTGTATGCTGTACCTGCCCTGGGGCAGGTAATTTGCATTGCAAGGTAAGCAGGAAAGAGAAGCTAGCTGCTTGAGCTGCTTCTACCTCTCCTTTTTGCTCTTGCTCTTTGCCACCACCATGAAAAGTTGCCCTCTGCCCTGTGCCACTCTGCCTTGGAGCCAGCTGAGTGTGGACTGAGACCTCCAGTAACTGTGAGCTAAATCTTTCCTTCCTTCATTTTGAGTGTCAGGTATTTGTCCCACCAATGAGAAGAGTACCTAAGACACCAATTTTTGTAAAAATGTTTTATACATGTGTGTTTATTCATGTATGTATATGTATGATGCTTTAAATTGGGGGAAAGTAAAACCAAGAGTTTCTGCCTGCAGCATAAGGATAATTTTAAAATGTCAATGATCACTTTTCACTGTCTTACAAGGACACAGCTTTGTCTATATTTGCCCTTTGGCACAAAGTATCAAGTAGATTTCAAACTTGGATGCTGTATTACAGACTTAGAGGAGCATTCAGACTCTAAATTATCAGGTGATGCATTCTTCAGTTGAGGATTATGGACATGTTTTAATCTTCTGCAGACTACCTTAACTAATTTTATACATTATATAGGAAGGAAGTGAATTTAAAAACAAGAGAAAGCAAAGATTCAGTGGGTAAGTTTGCTGTTTAACTGAAAACGTTTGTTAATGGGAGAACAAATTTAAAACAGTGGAGATTTTCCTCTTCCTCTGAACATTTTTAAGTACTCACTTTTTGCCTAGAACCAATTGAAACTGATATAAAGGAGTCAAACATAAAATTTGAAATTTCTAGAAAAATCCAAATTACTTTCTAAATTTATTTCTAAAATTCTCCGGAGGTGGCCATCTGTGACTAGATGTGACTGACTTCTTTTGTCCTTATGTCTGGGTGATTTCTGCCTCTCATTAGCCCTGTGTCACTGTGCTGTCTGCTTGGCCAGATAGCTCCTGCTCTTCATGAGCTTGTACATATTATGGTCTTAATATTTATAGTGTTATGGTCTGATATTTTAATATTGGCAAATATAACTTTTGACATTACTTTTTATAGCCCTCTTGTTTTTATAGAGCAATGAAAGTTTGGGCTTTAAAAGAAGAGGGTGCCTTTCTGAGACGGCCAAACATATTTCTTGTTAATGATATGCTGGAGTTTCATCCTTTTCCATAATTCTCTATTATTACTTATTTTAAATGTTTTCCCTATCACCATGAAAAACCTAAATGTCTGTTCTCCATTTGTAAATTTGCTGAAAGTGCTGCTCCACGGAAATATGCAGAAACAACAACGATAAAAGTGTCAGCATTGTTTAAATGTATGAGCATGATGACTAAAAGATAAGCATACGCGCTTCAAGTTGTTGGTAGTAATATGCATCTGAAACAATTTCTTTAAAACTAATAGAAAATTTTAATATACATGAAGTATCCACTCACCAGAAACTCTTCCTGAAATTTCATATGTAATCATTCTAAGACCCTTCCGCAACAAATAATTCAAATTAATTGGAATAAGAAGGTTCATTTTTTGGAAGGGCATTTATTGATAATCTTAGTAGTTGCTGATGTTGAATATTTATTACTAAATTTTGAAGGGAAGATAAAGAAAATGAAGTCTAGAGACCAGAAGCAAAAACATCAACTTTTATTGAGAGCAAGTCAGGCACGACAGTTCATTTAAAGTTCTTTGTACATATATGAGAGCTAGATTCTGCCAAACTCTGGGCCTTCAAATGCAGCATTTTATGAAGGGTAAATTTCATATTTACAGAGAAATAAAGTTATTAATTCTGGTTTATCTGGCAACAAAAAAGTCAAACTCGTGTAATAAATATTGGCATCTACACAACCAATCAGTCTCCTTTCCTAGCAGGTACCAAAGCCCTGGCCACTCTGAAGCTTCGATCACAAAAGTCTCAGAAGATCTTTATATGCAGTTACTAATTTTTGTTCTTAGTTATTTCTCACAAGAGTTTCAAAGTACGCTGAGTACCCCCCGTGCAACCTAATGGGGGACCTTGTACTTCTTGGCATAAAAGCTCGAGCAGACACACGCATCACTGCCATCAATTGCTCCAGATTCTATAACACTGTGGCTGTGGCGTACAGTGCAGCTTAGGTCAGTGCTCAGCAGTGTCAAAGAGTAACGCAGGTGCTCACATGCAACTACATAGCTTCTTCTGTGAACATGAAGCACTTACCAAGTGACCACACATCAAAATAGTTTTGGTGGATGAAAACAGTATACTTTTTAAATTTTTGAACAGGGGCTTATTATGTAGTACAGACTAGCCTTGAACTCATTATGTAATTCTGGCTGGCCTTTAATTTGTGGTGATCCTCCTGCCTCAGCCTCTTAGGTGCTGGAGTTATAGGCATGCAACATCACACCCAACTACTGATAAGCATTTCAATATTGATTAATTGCCTGAAGAGGACACAACTTTAAAAACAAATAATAGGATTACTCTGCATTGCATACTCTGGAACTCCATGAGAGCCAATTCTTTTGCCAAAACATAGCCATCGTCCACCCTTCTCAGTCAAGTTCCACAGGACTCACACTCTCTAGTGGAAGAAACTAAAGCAGGCTGTCATAAGGTGAGTCAATAATATGCTCCTGCAAAGTAATGGATAACACAATGCTGCACTTCAATATTAACTAGAAAACCATAGGCGTCATCAGTAACCCAGAAAATAGATAGGCTAACTCATCTAGCATGATTCAATCATCAAAAAGAAGAATGACAGTTTTAAGGACAATAGATTAATCTTTCTATCAGTAACCCTGATAGAAAAGTTTAGAAGATCTAAATTAAAAGGGAAATTATCTTAGTAAATCAATCTCCCACCTGACTTTACCAATAATGATCTGACTTCCCTCATTTCATTCTAAAAGCTCACCAAATGCCAAAAGAAGTCTTTAAGTTCTATAGGTTAAGGGTAAACTCTTACCATTATTAAAAGGTACATCTTACCTTGTAGCGGGATAATACCTTTTACATGATGAAGTTGTAAACTACCCATTTAAAAGAACAAAAGGAATATATTAATCCTGAATTCTGAATTGAATCTTATAAGCACTAAATAATGATATATGATACTATGGATATATATTTTATGACCAGGAAAACTCCAGAGAAGTTGGCCACATACTAGAATGTGTGGGATTTGTTACACATAAATAAGCAATAACCTAAGAAGGACTAACCCAAGCTTTTTTCACAAAATGATAAAGAAACAAAGGATTCAATAGTACAATGAAGACTGTATTACATTCAGACAATAAGGAATTGTCCTTTTATTTGCAGAGCCAAAAGATATTTTTATCTGTTGCAACAGAAAGTTCAGGGTGATATATATGGAAGCATGAAATGAGAAGTTATGGAACAAACTATCTAAGAATATAAATATAGACTCTTTTCATAAATATTCAATACATTATTTGACATGTTGGTTTTTGTGAAGCTCCACAAGTACAATTTTGCATTTCTTGATGTGGGCCGAGGTCCAGCAAATTATGTATTCCCAACAAGTATCAGTTTTCTCACTAAAAATACATGCTCACAACCTACTTTGAAAGTATTCTAAGATAATTATTTTCATTTTCATAGTAACTAGCACACTTATGATTAGCATTGTCTCAGATTTCTAAGGAAAGAAAATTATTCTGAGCTACTGTTAATAAGAAAAAGTGCAGTAGTAGGGAATAGTATTTTCTTAAAATTGTCCTTAAAACTGTCATTCTTCTTTTTGATGATTTAATTGTGCTAGACAAGATTTTGTCTTCAGTCACAGAAATAAAACTAACCAGCATAACCCTCTTGTCCACTGCTCACCCACCTTCTAGCCCCTCCCTGTGTTGACCTCACAATGGGCTTCATTCAATTTGAAAGCATAAAGCAAACATTTAGCAGAGTCCTCCTGACTCACAGCCCATCCACTGAGAAAAGTCACTGAATGGCATCACCTAGGAAGAAGGCCTATGGCATTTCCACTCCACAGATGCCAACAAAAGCATTTCAGAATGTCCTTTGATGTTAATGTGAAAGGCTCAGAGTTTTGGAAGTTTATTGGCAGAGTATATAAACCCATGCTTAAAAGGAATAGAGGTTTAATACCAGATTTTTCATTGCCACAATATGTAGAAAGAAAGACACCAGAAAAACAGGAGTCAGTTCACATTGTCACCTTTTTCATCTGAGCACTGCTTTGGAAGTCACATCATGCCAGATTTCCCAGGGAGACTATCTATTTAAAGCTTATTGCACTAATGGAATATTAGTGAAGTTTTAAAAAGCCAATGCCTAAGGATTAATCTAAAGGGTTTGGTATTTTAAAAAAATTTGAAGTGACCAGACTGAACTCTGTCTAAGGTTATTTCCACATTGTTATACATGAAAACCACTGCAAGCGTGTGCATCTTTCAAGAGGATAGCTCAAGACATGGAAAGATTCATCTCAAGATAAAATTAGCTTTTGTTTTAGCAAGAAGTAGAAGTTGTCAGTTTCAGTTAGGTCACAAATGCATCATAGACTCAAATTCGTCAATTCGTTGCTTGGTGTTCCCCTTCCTGATTTTGCGATAGGATATTGTATTATATCTTGAGTAAGTATTTCTGGAGATATCGCCCTTCTTTCCCAATGCTGGTGGCTCATCAGGTGTCACAGGTTGTGAGCTAGGGCTGCTTAGTGGAGAGTCCTCACTTACATCCCCTCCTCCTTGGAATTCAGGATCCACTTCATGCTTTTTCTTAAATTCTATCACTCGGACTTCATCTTCATCATCGATGCAACTATCAACGTCATTAGTTTCTTCATCCCAAACCTCTTCCTCCTCCTCTTGTTTAGAATGCAATACAACAGTGTGGCTAGGTCTCTGAAATTCCAGACATTCCGTTTCTGTTGCCCAGTGAGCTTCAGTCTTACTGTCTTCACCTGTCTCCTCTAGAAGTAGTTCGGTCTTCCTCTCCGGGGGGCTCCTTAGCTCCTGGTTACTGGTGCTGCTTGAAGGGATCTTCTCCCACTCATGTCCTACAGCAAAATCAATTAGCAGTTGAGACATAGAGGTTCAAAATACCTAGTTTCTCTTATGATGCTCTGGATTATTTTTATGAACAGTCACTCCTCAGCATTTGTCTTACAGTATATGATTCTGAGCTTCTGAGGTATTCTACACAATTAAACATGCTTCGCAATCCAATTAGTTTGCAGCTTCTTCAAACTTTATCCAATACTATATTTATTTATTTATTTATTATTTGACACAGGATCTTATTACACAGTTCAGACTTGTGATTCTCCTGTCTCAGCCTCCCCATGCTGGAATTACAGGTGTGCACCACCACACCAGGGATTATGGGGCCAACACAGCATGTGGTACCAGGGATCAAACTCAAGACCTTGTGCTTGCCAGGTAGGTACCTACACCACCAAGCTATCTCCCCAGCCTTTTGCAAGCCTTAGAGTGCTAACAAATAATATAAATCTTAGGGAAGTCAGAAATCCACAACTCTGTTGTGGGCTACTTTATTTGGGGAGGTTGTAATTCCCTGAAACACACTTAAAAGTCTATCTAACCTATTATAAACTGAATATGTGAATGAATAAAACAAAATGCTTGACCTATCGCATACCCAGAGACATTCCTTTGGAAGAAAATAATAATTTTAATAATTAAAAAAATAATAATTTTCTAATAATTAAAAACAGTGACAGCCCATATCTGTTCAAACTCAGGAACAACCTGGGCACATGACACCCTGTTTCTCAGAGTGGCCTTCAAGTAATGAGGTATTAAAAAAAAAAGAGCAAAGCCCAGACAAGATCAGGACTTGTGTGCTCACCACAGAGGTTAGAGCCCCACAAAGCACATATGGCATGCCTAGCATCTCCCTCTGATTTCTAGAGAGTCCACATTTAGAAGTCACATTGAGGAAATGTCTTGATACTGCATTAGCTTGTTGTACTCATATTCTGAGTGAGGACTAATTCACACAGTGATTTTGTGCCAAGTAATGACTTTTAGAAAGTCCTCTTGCACTGCATTCAATACTTGTCACAATCTAGGTCCTACTGGTGCAGTTTCCCCAGTGTCCACCGTGTACACAAGGGTGGAGAAGCAGTTCTCAAGCTTTCCCCATAAAAGGCTTCTGTGCAAAGTCCCAGGCTGCAGTGTGCACAGCCCAGAGCACCTGGTCTGTGAGCCTTGCCAGATGGATTTCCATTTCCTTTCAACAGCACAAGCCTGTCCTTCCTCACCACAATTTTCCATTCTTCCTGAAAAACTGTTCATATAATTCCATTTTCATCTAAGGTTTTTAATTCTATTCTACTCTCTCCCCCCCCCTTTTCCTTTCTTCCTCTAGGAAGCAAATGATTTATTGAGATATGGGTTTGCTATGCAATTCAGGCAGTCCTTGAACTTTTCGCAGTCCTCCTGTATCAGCCTCACGAGTGCTGAGATTACAGGCGTATACCACCAGGCTCAGCTAAAAATCAGATTTTAAATTTTCAGAGAGAAATGAAAGTGTATTACCCCACTAGTTATCTATAGTTGCTATAAGTTCACTGGCATATAGTCAACATTCTTTGCACATAAATACACATTAGAATGTTAGCTCTAATGTTTTGTTTGTTTAGTTTTTCTACAAGAACAAAAGAAACTGATTTTTATTTTTGCTCATATTCATAACTGAGGCATGGATTGTCATGAATGAAATTACTTCTTGAATTTTTGAATTTAAATTATAGCTTTTCTTCATATTTTTAGCAGCTTTATATTTTTCAGCCCAGGAGCATTCTCCTCACAGATTTTATAGCTGTTTTGCCATTGTGAAAATAAAAGCCATGAAAATCTGTGCTTCCACCATAAAGGGAAAGCACACGAGCCATCGAACACAAGAGGATACGTGCAGAGACAAATTTGCTGGTAGGACCATCTAGCTTTACAACAGAGGCTGCTTTCATTCTCCATTTGATCAAAATGGAAGCTCCTAGAAGCCTGTCATCTGTAGTGGGTTCCTGGATAAGAAATGTGAAAGAGCTCTAAACAAAGACCGTGCTCCTTGCCTCAGAAGCTTCATCACTTTGCAAGCAGAAAGGTTAGGGCAAAGCAGTTATTTAGCTCATTTTGTGGAGTCTTAAGTTTATGAACTACCTCTGGTATTATGTCCAGTGGCTATTGCTCGCTCAACTTTCCCTGAAGTAACTGTCCACACTGGTCAGGGGACAAAGTTAGCTGGGTGAAAAGAGCAATCCAAGAAATTGTCAGTCACCTCACTGGTCTCCTTAGCATCTACTATTTTATGCGATGTTCTAATATTTCAACCAATTATCTCTTTAATGTCTTTGCCTTCAGGTCCTAAGTAAGCTAATTTGGTTAGCTCTAACAAGCTGACTCTAATTTTGAGACACAACATTTACAGCTTCAGGAGAAAAAAATGAATAATTAATTAATAGATTTTTATCCTGCCTTTTATTTGAAAATTCCTTAGATATAGTATCATTCTAGAAGAGATGTCTACAGGAATTTTTGACTCTTTCTCAACTGAGTTCCTTTGAAATTTAATATAATCATCTTAATGTCTTTCTTTTTTTAATTTTAAAGAAAATTAAAAAGAATAAGCAAGTGCAAGATCAAGAGTTCAAATCCAATTACTAAAAAAACAAAAAAAAAAAAAAAAAAAAAAGGATAGGGAATGGCCAGGGAGAAATGGTGAGTTTTTAAATCTTGAATGCCTTAAACTCATTGTTTATTTTGGG